AATAGAGCTCCCTCCCTATAATAGCAACATGATGGCTTGCATTTTATTTTGACATCAGGAAAATAAACTTCTGTGGCTGAGCCTCTGAGATTTAGGGGTTGTTTATATACAGAACATTACATACTCTAATTGTTGGAGCCTCAAATAATATACCAGTCTAGAGACGACCTTCATTAATTTATTGATACTTACTGTTCCAATGTTAATCCTTATATAATGGTAAATTTTTATAATATATATGTTATATATTACATGATAGAGTGGCCAAATAAAACATGTCATCCTTAAATATCTTCATCCCCAAATTATCACTAATGATATTGAAAATTGGCTTTCTAAGTTAAATCAGGAAATCTAAATTTAAATTTAACACAGGAAAATTTTAATGAATAAAATTTACAAAATACCTTTCAAGGGTACCTGGGTGGCTCAGTTGGTTAAGTGTCTGACTTCAGCTCAGGTCATGGTCTCACAGTTTGTGAATTCTAGACCCACATCAGGCTCTGTGATGACAGCTCAGAGCCTGGACCCTGCTTCTAATTCTGTGTCTCCCTCTCTCTCTGCCCTCTCATACCCTATCTTTCTCTCTCTCAAAAATAAACAAACATTTAAAAAATTTAAAAAAAAACAACAAAATACATTTCAGACATACAAAGACATGTAAATTTTTATAAATTAATTATCCCCACATTGAATTGCCTGAGTGAAAAATACCAACAAAATAAAAGAAGGAATTTCCAATTATTGATGAGGGTATGTGAAATGGGTACTTTCCTGCAAAACCAGTGATTCTCAGCCTTTAGTCAGAAATATCCATGTTTGTGAAGAATTCTCTGAAACTTTTCTAAAGCATTTAATAGAAAAACAATAAAAGGAGAGATTTACCGTGTCATGGAAAAAGAAAAAAATATATAAAGCAATCTCTCTAAAATAAGGTACACTTTTAGTGCATTCCCAGTCAAGACCCCTAATGAGCTATTTTATTGGAGGTTTAACAGCTGGGCTGTAAAATTTACCTGCAAAGGTAAGGTACCAAAGAAGGCAAGAAAAAAAAATATGTTAGGAATATTTTAAACTAGATTTTTGTGTTTTAGTAAAGTGGTTTGCTAACCTCTTTTTACCCAAAAATTGCACGCTCTCAGAGTTGAGTGGAAATTAAACAGGCACTTGTTGCTATTCCACTTTAAAGTTCTTTGCGAAAAAAAACATTTTACCCTTTCATACTTCACTAGTTTAACTTGGCAATTCTCCCTTCTCTGATTCAGGGAGGTGCCTCTGTCATCCCCATCACAGGGACTGGGCGGAGAATTCTCTGAGAAGCTTGGAAGTGAGCTGTGCCTGGCCAGTCTTGGGGGAGGAGCTGCATTTCACCAGTCTGCAGCTGACAAGAAGCTTCAAGGTAATGGCTGTCTTAAAGCTAATTATTTTCTAGGGACTTCTCAGGGCCCTGGAGTAGAGATGAGAAAAACAAGGAGGGTGGTCTTGGAGTGGTGGGAAAGGTATGTGCTTTTCAGAGAATTGCTGGTGTTTTGAAGGATTTAATCCTTTGGAAATGTTGTATCTCCCAATGCTTTCAAAGTCTACAGTAAGAGAAGGGGTGATCAGATTACAGCCTCTATATTAAGGCCTCTGTGCAACATGGCCGTTCATGCTAATTTATTGACTTGGCATCACTTGTTTATATTGTTAGACATTCTGTTACTGTTTGAATTTTTAAGCGTTTATTAAGTTACACACAAAAATGATAGATAAAAATATTTAACGACTTGGGGGGAAATACTCCTGTGAATTGATTACCATATAGAAATACTATGTATGTGTCATATGTACATGAATATGGAAAGGGGAGCATGTATGTAGCTGAGTGAAGACATTTGCACATATATATGCATGTATATATGTGTGAGTAGAAGCAAAACCTGGGATAAAATAAACTCCCATGTTAGCATTTCTGGGTGGTCAGGTTACTATATTAATGTTATTTTTTTAGTGTATTTCAGCATCTTTAGAGTAGGTTTTCCCATGATTATTTTTTTTTCAAAATTTAGAAAATTTTATTTTATTTTTTTAATATGAAATTTATTGTCAAATTTGTTGCCATGATTATTTTTATTATCAGTAAAGAAAAATAAAGCTGAAGCAACATGCCTATTTTGTTTCAAACACATAAGCAAGCATTCATAGATACATGCAGACATGCAAACATACCCCCCCCTTTTTTTGCCAATAGTGGAAATTTTTCTAGACCTGATCAAACATGTAACCTGGTTGCTGTGTTACAGGCTACAGACTTGCATATGTTCTCCTTGCAGCTAATTCTTCCAGACCACAGATATGGCTGTGGTCAGCAGGGCTGTGATCTAAGAGTGAGATACAGTGGTTTATTTCTATAAACAGTTTTTAAAATTGTTACAAAGCATGGTGTACTATGTATCTGGAGAATAGAAACATGAACTCCTACATCTGGTGATTTGAAATGTCTGAGAAATAAATGGTATGAAGTGAGAAAACCAAATTAGATCATAATATTTATCATATGACTTCACTTAAAATTAAATATGTATGTTAGTGAAACATGTGTATGCTAGTACAGGACTTGCAACCAAATCACGGAAAATGTGTCTGCCACAGTATTAATGGGATTATTTGCGTAGTTGGAGATACAGAGCGAGCTTTACTGCTCTCTATTTAAAATATTTACATCATAAGGGAAAATACTAACATAAAATGTTGCAAATGTGGGAAAAATATCATTTTAAGTAATTCATGAAATATGTGGAAAATAATTTATGTAGAATGATGTTCAAACTCTGCTCTTGAGATCTGAAGTTGGTTTGAAATTATATGCATTCATTTATACATGTAAAAATTCTGGAAAGAGAAAATATTCCTAGTGAATATTTGTATAGAGCTGTACTTTATTTTGCATATATCTTTCTGTATCTTTTAAGTTTGCTTCTGGATATTTTTACAACCAGAAATATTATAGTTGAAGACATTATAATCCTGTTATAATTCTATACAATAAAATCCTTGAGCTTATAACAAAAATTATAGAAACCTGGGAAGGCTCCTGGCTGGCTAAATGCAGTTCCCACCCTTCTCTCATGAGAAGGATCTGATAGTGATTGAGGCCTTGTCTATACTTCTCCAGGAGGCTGCAGTTCTGGTTTTGGTCACAAGATGGCACTTGCCAGGTTTCCTGAATTTCTCCAGGCAACCATTTTTTGAAGTAGGCAAACAGAACAATGACACATATTTGTATTAGTGAACTATGATACAGTATATCGAGTGTAATCAAAATTCTGTTGAGAAAATTATATATTTAAAGAAGGAAAAATACACATGGTGATCGATGTGAAGATTCAAACAAAGGTCTATAGTCTGGCTCATAATAGACACAAGGTAGTTGTTACTTCCCTTCTCTCTTATCCCTACCTTACAGTTTTCTTGAGAGATTATTTCAGCATGAACCAAATAGCATAATTGTATCACAGAGAGTGTATTTAAATAATAAGAACAAGAAGGAAAATAAACATGGTATCTATGTCATAGATGAGATTTCATCCCATTTCTGTGTTTCAGAATGACATGCCTGCTAAAGTTTTGGTAGGGAAGTTTCTTTATGCCTTTTCCATTTAATTGGCTTGTCTCTTTTTGGACAGCTTCCCTCCTTTTAGAGTACGAATGGAGACAACCAGATCATAGGGCCACACCCTTCACGAGTCACAAGTTGGGTAAGGCACTTTCCATTTCATGAAACATTTCACATTAAAAATATGTTGAGAACATGTGGTGTAATTCATGTTGCTTCCTGCTCTGCAACCATACCATTTTAAATTAAAACCCACATTTCATATTAAAATTATGTTTGTTTGAGCATATGAGGTATAATTTATTTTGCTCCCTGTTCTATAGCCATAACATTTCATAATTAAGTATCAGAGTTTCCAGTTTGGGGAAAGAATCTCGTGTTTAACCCCTATGAAAAAATTATGCAAAAGGCTATTAAGATTTCTACTATGAGGTCCTAGTCAGCTACCTGACTCTCAAGAAATCCTTGATAACTATCCTAATAAGCGAACATAGCAGTCATTCTGAATCTCTGCCTCCTAAGTTCATGCTTTTAACAAGGTCATTGTACGTTGTCTGAGTCCAGGAAATACATAATCCTATTATCTTTGTCTGCCTGCTTTGGGTGAACAGAGAAGCATTTGTTTACAGCTTAAAAATTATAAAGCTGTTTGTTCATCTAGAACAGTGCTTCTCAAGGAGTTCGTGGACCAGAAGCATTAGAATCACTTGAGAACTTTTTAGAAATATAAAATGTTGGGTCCTATCTAGACCCTCTAAATATAACTCTCGGGATAGGAGCTAGAAATGTAGTTTTATCAAGTGCTCCAAATTATTCTGATGCGTGCATAGTTTAGAGTCCCACTGGCCTAGGTAAAACATTAGGGGACACCTAAGTCCCAAAGCATCTAATAACATAGACTCCCTGACATATCACTGCAACCTCTTCCACCTCTGCCATTATGTATACAAATTTACTCCTTAATAATCATGTGTAGTAATAAGGGCAAGTTTTTGAATTTGAGATATTATAAAAACATTTCTCCAATTCTTGTCCCCCATCTTACATTATGTTGCTTTTTTCTCCTCCCGATTGATACCCCATTGAGCATTGTTCTTTCTTTTACTTCTCTGTTTGCAATTGCCCACCTCTACTTGGGCAAAAACTTGCTGATACCTTTCTTCTTTTCCTTTGACTTATTCTAGTATCCTCCATATTGTCCCATTCAAACAACATGTTCAAGCATCCTTGAGAAATTCAGCTGGAGAAGAACAGGTGACACAAGCTGTATATCCTTTGTAGTTCTAACACAAAAGAGGCTTTGATCAGAGTATTGCTTTTGGTTGAAACTGTCTTAGCAGAGTCAAGAATAGCCAGACACCTCAATCTCTGATAATAACCTCTTGGCACACGTATATAAATCATAATGGATGCCGAGTATGTCCTGTGCAACTGGAAAGACCAGTTATGGCCGGCAAAAGTTTTGTCTGGATATGAGACTTCATCAAACAGTAAAAGAAAAAAGGCATTTTCCCTAGAAGTTCAAATACTCTCACTAGATGAAAAAATTAAAGTGGAAAGCACGGAAACAAAGATTCTAAATAAATCTCAAATTGAAGCCATTGCCTCCTCACTAGCAGCACAGTCAGAAGTCAGCACTCCACCTAGAGCGGAAACAGCCTATGAAAGGTCATTAAAAGTGGCACTGGATATTCTGAATGAAAGAATATATTTGAGTCAAACAAGCAGTTCATATGACAAAGAAACCACTACTCTGTCTCAAAATGATCCACAAAAACTTTCTGATTCACCCCCTCATAAAAAGTACCGGAAGCATGAAGGAGACTTATCAGAATGTCTTGAGGAAAGTAAAAATGCAACATCCTCGTTAGTATCATTAGAGAATAATGATTCCCTGTATGATGATAAATCACAGGTGCATGCAACCATTGATACTCTTCCAAGTGAAATGGAAACAAAGTCATCGGAAAACTCCAGCTGGTGCCAGAGACTTCCTTCACTTTCAGAAGATGATGATGAAAAGGAAAGCAAGAAAGAGATTGATATCTCAACAGTTATGCCTTTGCATTCCACAATCAAAGAGGAGGATGTATGTGTTAAAGATGAAAAGTTCACTCCAACTTTGCCATTAGATACATTCACTGTGCCCAAAGCTTTGAAAGAGGAGGCACAGGACATTTGCCCAGAGACCCAGGCTATTTCCTCTGAATGCTCTTCCTTCTCAGAGTATATTGAAGATCCTGGAGAGGGCCCTTCAAATCCGTGCTCAGATACCAGCCAGAATCAAACTGTAGAATCAGAAGCAAGTGCTGTGACACCCCCCAGGCATTGTTCATGGGAATGTCAAGTTTCATTTAGTGCCTCTAACAACGTCCTGGATTATTCACTCCTTCTTGTGAATAATGAAAGAAATCCTCAGAGACTGGATTTTGAAGAACTTGGAGAAGACCTTCAAGCTTCTGATAAGTCAGTGCATCTAAATCCTATTGATACTTCCATAGTAGATGAGAATGAGGAAGATGAAGAACTTCCACGCTTTGTTTTTAATTATGAGCCTCGTTCATTTGAAACAGGAATGATAGTCTGGTTTAAATATCAAAAATATCCATTTTGGCCAGCAGTGGTGAAGAGCATCAGGCGAAAGGAGAGAAAAGCAAGTGTGCTTTTTGTTGAGGCAAATATGAATCCTGAAAAGAGAGGTATTAGGGTGCCTTTTAGAAGATTAAAGAAATTTGATTGTAAAGAGAAACAAGCACTAGTGGATAAAGCCAGAGAAGAATACAGTGAAAGTATTGACTGGTGCATCTCGCTGATTTGTGACTACAGAGTAAGACTAGGTTGTGGTTCTTTTGCAGGCTCTTTCCTTGAGTATTATGCTGCTGATATTAGTTATCCGATTAGGAAAGTAATCAAACAGGATACCTTCAGGAACTTATTTCCTAAGCTGCATAATGAGAATCCTGTGGAACAGATGGTTGTGACTTCCCAGACCAAGAAAATGTCCTTCCAGAAAATTCTTCCTGACCGAATGAAGGCTGCTCGGGACCGAGCCAACAAGAACTTAGTGGACTTCATTGTGAATGCAAAGGGAACAGAGAACCATCTTCTAGCCATTTTAAAAGGTACAAAAGGATCCAGGTGGCTGAAATCATTTTTGAACGCAAATAGGTTCACTCCCTGTATTGAAACATACTTTGAGGATGAAGATCAGTTGGATGAGGTGGTGAAATATTTACAAGAAGTCTACAAACAAATAGATGAAAGAATGCTGACTGTGATAAGAGATGATAAAATTAAATTTATCCTGGAAGTTCTTCTGCCAGAAGCTATCATTTGTTCAATTTCTGCTGTTGATGGATTAGATTACAAGGCAGCTGAAGCAAAGTATCTAAAGGGACCATCCCTAGGATACAGGGAAAGAGAATTATTTGATGCAAAAATCTTATTTGAAAAGAGACGGAAACCATTAACAAATGAGTCTCATTAAATTTCTTGAGAATCCCAACCATAACAGAAAAATTACATACATATTAGTTTTAAAAAGTCGCTGAGCAATTCTAACATATATTTTCCAGAAATGAGAAAGTTTGGGTAATGTATTCACTTTTTTTTTTAGATCTCCAGGATTTGTGACTATTACTACATTTTTGTTTTCTTTTCTTACACTTCTTCAAAGTCAATTTTACTAACATACATCAGCAGTTCTACTTTCCCATACATTTTTAGAATGCATAATTCCTAAATTATTTTTAAGGGAAAGTACTGTTTTGTTTTTTGACATTTTTGTGTCTATGCTGTATAGTTAAATACAGTGTGCACAATCATTTTAATATTAAAATTGTACTGGTGTTAGATATTAACAGAGATAATTAGAAAAAAAGTCTAAAGAACATCACATATATTTTTTGCTTAATTTTTTATAAAATATTGGGTTTTCTCTTAAGCTAGTTGAATTATTTTTCCTGCCATGCCTATTTATTTTTGGAAAGAAATATCTCTGAGACGTGGAACCAAAGATAGAGAGATGCTTTGCTATATACTGTAACTAACTGCAATTGCTTTTGCAAGATAACAGTCTGGAATTCAAAAATAAAGTAAATAGATTACCTGCATGCAGTCTTTCTGTGTGTGAATAACCTCTCAGCATGCAGAAAATAATTTTGGCAGCCTTGAACAGGATTGTTCATTTTATGTTTCCCTGAAATTCCATTTATGGAGTGTCTTTTATTCAATAGTTGAATGGTTTCTTGCCTTTTGGCTGTCTTCATTATTAACAGTGAGACTGTATCTTAATATAGCCGTCTGATCACATGTGAAAGGCAGCTAGAGTCATTGTATTCATGGTCTGGCTACTCTAGATGAATGAATCCGGACTGACTGCTTAAAAGCCCATCTAATTTGATATAAACTATAGAAATGCAAGCACTTTGTTCTGAGTCTTGTATCTCTGAATATACAGTCATTTGTTTCAAACCAACCAATCTTCAGCATCTGGCTTATTCGTAAAATAGTTCTAGTTGGTTCCAATAGTATAAATGCCAACTGGTACGTTATTCCAGGCTACTAGAAAGAGTAGATGGACTAGAATCTGTGAATTTGGAAATGGGTCACAGAAAAAGCCTTCATTTGGCCAAAATTGACAGTTATCTGAATATGATTTAAAATATACAATTAAAAGTTAAAGTTTGAAGCCAATGAATTGTTTATTCTAACTTGAAACAAGACTTTAGTGAGAATAAATATTAGGAGAGCTGCTTTATTTTTAAAAATAGATGTAAAAATAAATGCTAAAGGCTTAACGTTTACCTGTCTGCGTTTTTACTGAGTGAGACACATACCATTCTTGGGTTTTTGTTATGTGTTCACATGGCCACATGTTTATGTAAAAGTTACAAATGTTTTATGTTTTGATTTGCAATAAAACTATTATACCTTTCACTTTGGATTGTCACTTTATCATACTTCCGATTGTGCAGCCTCCAAAGTAGTGTTTCTGTAAAAAAAAAAATTATACACACACACATATATTATAATTTGGAATTTTTGCCTATTGTAGTTGTCATAAGTTTAACACATGTTATACATTATCATTCTAAATAAATATTCACTTTCATGATTGATTTTGTATTATTTTAAAAGAAAGCCATCTAAATTGTATAAGCTTCAGATTCCACAGAACCTTCTTTGGACCCTGCCTGACAAAGACCAAGACTCTGGGCATACAGCCAAATCAATCCATATAGCTTCTTCATGGTTCTGAGATGTATTTGACAACAGACATCACCACACTATATGTGACCTTGTACCCTGAGAAAACACTGTATTTACTCTATAAAACTGTGTCCCTTTGATTCCAATCTATTACCAACCTTCAGTTTTCTCAATGGAGCCAACTCTATCACTTGGTTCCAATATTTTCTTTCCTACCTCATTCATTCATTCATATGGTTGTGAGTCAGGAGAGCAAACAATGTGTGATTTAAAGCTCAACTCTGAGGATTTAAGGTACCCCAAACGACAGGGTTAGATCTAAGGTGAACCAGATGATAATCTAATTTCTAAAATGATTAGGATGCACTACATCATAATAGTGAGAAGTACTTATTAACCTTGTGGACTGCTTATATTTCAAAACAAGAGCCCCAGGCTTCCCCGTATTTGAGTCCTGAGTATATGGTTTGGAGTGAAAGGAGGGTAACTGACTCCTCCTGGGATGTCATGTTGTAGCATTTATTGCAGTGAGGGAAATATGCTTCAGACATGCATCTATTCTCTATAAATGGGTTGGCATTTGAGGTATGGGAGTGAATGAATTTGGCTTCCAACTCAGCATGGATTCTGAGATACCTTTCAGTCTAAAGTGGTTGTTGGAGCAGCCTCTAAGACTGCCCTAATCTGAATCTCTAACCCAAGTTTGTGTGTCTAGTAAGAATCCCCAACCTGTCATCTACACTAAGCCATTAGGTTAAGGAGACCTTCATCTCCTTCAGTCATAAAGAAGACTGCTGAATATAAGGCACAGGTTCTAATTGTAAGGCTAGAAGAATTTCATGGAAACTGCATTCACATTACATGTCTCTATATCAATGTATGTATTCCAATAAAGAGTAGAACTCTAGGAGTTGGAATGGTAATGAGTATGAGAATCTTGAATATCTACAATCCCCTGAATCCTCAGCCTGGCAAAAGCAGCCCCTTAACCCTTAAAATTGGAGAGCAGCCTCTCTGTTCCTAAGGACAAGGCAGTAACCTCATCTAAGGCAGCTACCTCAAAAGAAATTGCTTGTCTTCCTCAACACCCAGCATTGATATATTTCATTACTTCTAACTCTTAAGGGTGAGGTATCACAGCACAAAGAGCAAAATGTAGTCTTTGTTTAGGTGGAAAATCCAGAAGGAACTACAGAGACTGGCTGATATGTACTAGCACGAACCGGGATAATATATGTTGGAATTGACTTTGAGGATGATGAATTATCAAGAGAACGAAGCAGAAAAAAAGTGAATATACGAGAGTACTTACTAACATGGGAGTGCAAAACTATGACTCAGAATTCAGTGACCTAGAGCCGCCTTAATATGCTGCTCAGGTGACATCTTTAAGCTTGGATGACAACCTATAGTAAATGAGATAGCAATACTGGAACTTCCTTGCCAGAATGCTGAAGAATTGGTGAAAAGGTCAAAGGGAGTGAAAGTATTAGAAATGATTTCTAGTATGAGACAAGAGGACCTATCTCTAAACTATTTTCCTGGGGGGGGGGGACAGAGAAGACTCTACTATAATGAGTCTGTGGGTGAGGGGAAACATTTTTAGAAGCTCAATATTGGCTCTCCTCTGCAAACCATGATTGGAAGTAAACTATGTTGCAATAAAGATGATAGGATTCCAGGCCCCAGTGCCAAGCACAAAACTTCAGGACATTACCATAATGGGAAACAAGGTCAGAGTGGAGCGAGGCTTTTTGGACTGACAAAAATCTGTGGCGATGCTTTATATATTGTATTCCAGGGCTAAATGTATGGACAGGTGTCCATTTTGTCTTTAATACAAAAAGGAAAACATGAGACTTGGCAAGGCAAAGTCTGATGTTAGCAGGTCTGGTGGAATATCCTGGTCCCCCACCAGTTTTTCAGATCTGCAGTGCAAGTTGTCCTGCTACTCTGACAATATGATTCAGCATATCTGATAGTGTTTATGGTGGTATCTATGGTAGATAAGGATGCACTATCTAGTCATTCTAAGCCATAATATGGGAGGCACAACACAGAATCCTGGGATTCTGAACAAAATCCATATATTCTGTGCCTGTAAACTACTTGTTATTTAAAAAACAGCTTCTTGGGGCGCCTGGTTGGTTCAGTTCGTTAAGCGTCTGACTTCGGCTCAGGTCATGATCTCATGGTCCATGAGTTCAAGCCCTGGGTCAGGCTCTGTGCTGACAGCTCGGATCCTGGAGTCTGCTTCAGATTCTGTGTCTCCCTCTCTCTCTGACCCTCTCCTGCTCGCACTCAGTCTCTCTCTCTCTCAGAAATAAATAAACATTAAAAAAATTAAAAACTAAAAAATAAAAACAGCTTCTTGGGGTGGCTGGGTGGCTCAGTCAGTTAAGTGTCTGACTTCAGCTCAGGTCTGAT